ACCCCAACTCATCCCTGCCTCTCTGTTGCCCCCTGCAGGTGAAGCTGACTCACAGCAGCCCCCACTCCTCACCCCTGTGATTTATATTGGAGGGAGACAACACCCAACCCAGCCCACCTTTTCCCACCTTCAGCCCCCTCCTGACCTGGCTGGGTTTTCCCATCCCCCACAGTCCTGGCTCCCCTAAACCTCCCATTTCCTGCTCTCCAGGACACCCCACCTCCCCTTCTATCAGCCGGATTAGGAACTGACAAACCTGGCGGTGATACTGGCTTTGCAGCAGGAATGGTGAGAGCTAGACTCAGGTGTGTTGAATGTGGTTCCTTGGCTGGACAGAGCCTCGTCCTCCTGCCTGGGGCTGGGCCTTCTTGGCCTCCCTGTCAGCAGAGAGCAATCAGTCTGTGTCAGCCCTGAGCTGGGGACAAATGATAAACAAACCCACCCAAGGCCCTGCCCTGGTGAGGCTGACATTCTCATGGGATGACACAGTTCATGACCAAGTGAACATAATCACATACTCGAGGTACTTACAAATCATACTAAGTTCATGAAAGAAAGAACAGAGTGTGGCAATAGGTAACAACCAGGGAAGGCCCAGATTGCTGTTGATGAACCCATCGGGACTATCACCAAGATATATTGTTATGTAGAAAAGAGCCAGAAGGATGTGTGCATTGTGGAGCGGTGCCATCTGAACGGAGATGAAAGCAGCCATGGAAACGTGGAGTGTAAAGCCTTGCAGGCAGATGTGGCAGCATGTGCAAAGACCCTGAGGTGGAAGGAATTTGTAGAATAAGGGCCAGTAAAACTATGGGACGCCATGAGCGAGGGGGAGCAGCACTTTTACCAATGAGAAACTAAGGCTTGAAAAGGGAAGTCCTTTGCCCGAGGACACACAAGGTCAGGGTGGAAACTGTTGCTCAGGCAGCCTTATGCTCTTAACCATGAGGACAGTGGATCTTAGTGAGGAATCCCAGACCAGCAGCATTAGCATCACCTCCCGGGCCCCACCCCAGAACTACTGAATCAGAAGGGGGGGTGGGGAGCTGGGTTGTGGAGCCCAGCAGTTTGCATTTACCAAGTCTTTCCGAAGATTCTGACTTGCAGTCAAATTTGAGAACCACTGAGTCTGGCTCTCTGGCCTCCCCAAACTTTGCTCCTGCCCTCTGAGGGATCCCTGTCCACTGTGGGTTGAATGGTGCTCCCCAAAAAGGTATGTCCACATCCTAATCCCCAGAACCTGTGAATGCTATGTACATCATATGGAAAAAGGGTCTCTGTAGATATAATTAGGTTGGGGACCTTGAGGTAAAGAGGTCATCCCAATGACCTAGGTGGGCCCTAAAGTCAATGACAAGTGTCCTTACGAGGGTGAGGCAGAGGGAACTTTGAGAGCAAAGAGAAGGCAGTGTGATCACAGAGGCAGAGACTGGAGTGATGTGGCCACAAGCCAAGAAGTGTCACAGCCATCAGAGGCTGGGTTGGAGCGGAAGGATTCTTTGGTTAATCCTCACCTGAGGGTATTTTTTCCATTGATTTTTAGAGAGTGGAAGGGAGGGAGGTGAGAGAGAGAAAAAAAAAACATCAATGTGAGACACACATCAATTGGTTGCCTTTCACATGCACCCTGATCAGGGCCTGGGATTGAATCTGCAACCCAGGTACACGCCCTGGACCGGGAATCCAGGGCCTCGGATGCAGCCAAAGATCTGAGGACACTGGGGAGCCCCGGCTGGTTTAAGTGAGGGAGGGAGTGGTTGGGTTTGGGCTTTCGTAGGATCCCCCCCTGTCCCGCAGCTGCCTCTGTGTGTGTGTGTGTGTGTGTGTGTGTGTGTGTGTGTGTGTAACCACTCACTCTCCGGGAGGGGCTGAAACCATGGCAGGCAGGGGGCAGGCAGAGGAGGGTTGTTGATTTCCAGTCTTCAGACTCTCCCCTGCCCTTATTTTTAGGTGCTTGGCTCCCGGCCACTCCCTGCCCTGGATTCTGACCCGGGGACAGCTCTGACTCCACTGCCACACTCTCGTTCTGGCTCTGCCTCTTCCTCCTCCGAGGACAGGTGGGCAGATAGGGTGTGGGCTTGTGGTGACGGGGGAGTGTCTCCAGTTGTTTGGGGTGTCATGAGCTCTTCTAGTGTTTGTCTGGGGATCTCCTGGGAACCCCCAGGGGCAGTGGGGCTAGGCGCTGGTACGCAGTGGTTGGTTTGCCCGCCAAGGGTCCTCCCCGCCCTCCAGGACCCTGGCTAATTCCTAATTTCCCAGGACAGCTCACTTCACCTCTCTGCCTCTGATCAGTGAATGGAGGTACTATTACCTCCCTAGTTTCTGCCTCCTGGGCTTGTTGAGAGGTTCAGTGAGTTAAGACAGTCCATTATCTCCCGTCTGCATCTGTGTGAGCCCGTGTTTCTCCCTAGGTGCGATTTGAATCTGGGTCCCTGTGTGTCTTATCTGACTGAGGCTCTGTGTATCCAACTCGCCACATACCAGCTGTGCAACCCTGGGTGAGTTACTAGACTTCACGGTCCCTCAGTTTCCTCGTTTGCAAAATGGGTTTAACCATAATATCTATTTCCTAGGGAGGATGCGGAGATTGAATTATTACCCCACCTAAAGAGTTTAGAACAATGCCTGGCACTGCCCTCCGTTGCATGAGTGTCATCATTGGGGTGTGAGCTCAACTCCCAGTGTCTGCAGCACGTGTCTCTCCCCAAATCTGGAGCAAGAAGGCCGGGAAGCATGTGGTTACCTGGAACCAGGCCTCTGTTGCCTCATCTGAGAAATGGGGATACCAACAGCACCCCTCACAAGGTGGGTGCGCAGGCGAGATGGGGGCTGGAGCGCACCGGGCGGCACACAGCTCCACACACACCTTCGCTGTCACCTCTCCTTTGTCACAGTAGCACCTCCCTCCCATGGCCTTAGAGGTTGAAAGGAACTTGTGCGCACTTAGACCAGCGCCTAGCAGGCAGTAAGCACTGGCTGGTGGCTGTTACCGGTAATCTGCGTGGAACTCTGCGCCTGTGCTTACCTGGTGTGGGATGTGGTGTGGGTAGGATGTGGCCATGGGCATCTGGCCCTACAGGTTTCTCCGTCACCCCACTTCCTCCGCACCCCTACCTCCTGCCTCCCCATCATCCCATCCCTCTCTCCAAACTCCCGGTGACCTCTGAGGGAGGAGGTTTGGCGGTCTGTGTTGCCTACCCCAGCCCCAGGAAGGGGTGTAGGCACCCCCAAAACCCAGATAGTGTTGCTGCTTCCCTCTCTGCTGCTATCTCAGTGTCTCCCCAGGGTCCCCCATCTTGGTGAGTCCCCATCAGTGGCTATAGGACTCTTTCTGCCCTGCACTCCCCACCTTGGTTTCCAGAACAGGAAATCTCAGGGTCCCAAGGGTGTGTCCCAGGTGAGGACACAGGAGGAAGTAGCCAAAGCAGGACCTCCCCCTCTACCCTCTCACTCCCACTGCTTTGGGGGGAGGCAAACAAAGGGGGGTCTTCATTAATTAACCTCCTGCCAGGCTGGATCTTACTGAGGTGGATGGGCCTTGTTAGAGAGCAAGGAGCCCTAGCATTAGCTCATTTGTCACAACCCAGTCCCAGGGCCAGGGCCTGGGTCCTTGGCTGGCTCTAGGGAAATTGGAGCAAGAGGCTTGGGAAACTGAGGAGCAGTTGGAGGCCTGGACTCCTGGGTCTGAGACAAGGAG